AGTATTTGCCTCACAATTTTTTGTTTGTTGAAACGATGTTGAACACTACAAGAAAACATTCTAATTTTGACTACCAATTAGGTTTAAAATTGGTTAAAAACAACTATTTTTGACTAGTACTTGACCAAAATCGATTCGTAAAAAATCGATGGTCGCAAATAAAAATTGGTCAGAAAATAGTCAAAACATTTTGACCAATAAAAATGGTCAAAATTTTGGTTTTRACCARCAAARTGGTCAAAATTTTGATTCTGACCAATAAAATCGTCAAAATTTTTTGATTAATTAAAATGGTCGGAACTATATATTCTGACCAATTTTAGACCATATATTCTAACCAATTTTGAACAACTTAGATATTTAAATTTTAGAACTATATTTTGATCAATTCAAAAATATTGAAATTCAAATTTAAAATATTTGATTCATAATAATTAAAATTAAATTAAATATTTTTTTAAAATTAAAATATAAAATATTTCAAAAAAATATATTCAAAAATATAAAAATTCAAATTTAAAATATTTGATTCTTAATAATTTCAAAATATCCACTAAATCAGCGATTAAAATATTTCAAAATTCAACTATTTGGGCCATGAAGCCCATTTAYGTTTTTCACAATGGAGTAAGTGTTATTTTATAGAGAAAGTCAAAGTTTCATCCCTCCCATATTGGCGATGTGGGACAAATACAATAGAAGTGTTCTMCTCAATATTTGGTCGATAATATTGTGACCAATTTCTGTCAAGTATTTATTCGTCAAAAATTACTCACGAAGTTTCGACCAAATTTTGTTTTAATCGATAAATGGTAAGAATATTTTGACTATTTACTGACCACTTGTATTAATAAAAAAAAGTTTGATCATATTTTGAAAAGTTTAAATTTTCATAATTTTTTGGTCGAAAATTTGTCAACAAACATTTTGACCAATTTATTCGTAAAAAAATTAGTAAAAAATTAACATGTTTTCTTGACCAATTTTCAACCAATCTTCTTTGTCGCAGGTTTTCAACCATTTTTTGACAAATATACGAATCTGTTGAAAATTGGTCAAAAAATTTCGACCAATTTTTGACTCTTATATTTCATCATATTTTTTTAACCAATTTATAATGAAAATAAACATTCGTCGAAAATTAGTAGAAAATAGTCAAAATAGTTTTAACCATAAAAAAAATTGGTCAAAAATTGATATATTTTGTTATAGTGGAATATTAGCAAACATGTGTGATACATCAAGTCAAGTTTAGTGTTTAATTGAACATTTGATATGCAAAATTGATAGTTGAACTATATATCTTGTTCATATTAAAATAAAACTCATACCATAAAACCATTTTAATATATATTTTTTTTAGTGTTTGTTCGGAAAAGTAAATAGATACATTTATATTCCAAAATGATTTGGCTTATAGTGGTTTACACAAATAGAGCAGCAGGTTCATTGACCAATTAGAAGAGATTGTCCCATGTGGAGCAGCATGATGAGTCATAAATATAGACAATTCTTTTATTTTTTTGGTCACTAAATAGATAATTCAATTTCTGTAAATAGATATCTTTACAAAATATCTTAATAGGAAATTTCATCCCAAACATGAAAAAAGAAGGGGAATCAGTTTTGTTTTGTCGACTTTCAGTTTTCTCTTCTACTAATTTAGGTTGGTCGTCTTTAGTGTTTGATCTACTAATTGTCACACACTCATAAACACAGCGATGACAATAAAATAAAGATGAGCATATCGAACGAATCACGAACAAAAACTTTTTAACCCTAAAAACTAAAGCTAAAATGAGTCTAATGGTTTACACCAATTTTAAATACCAAACAAAAACTAGTTCTTATGAATCAAATCGAATTTGATACATCTGTTCGAATTCAAAGAATGTAAAAGAAGAAAATCACGTAAGGTGAACTAACTGGACCATATACCAAAGAATCGAGAACACAATTTATTGGAAATCGAGCGTGTGAATATCACGCGATGATTTCTTTTCTTTACCTCCCCCGAACTTTTTCTCTCCGTTCTCACCGCTCGCCTCTCCGGTTCTGGCTTTGTCTGGTGGCGTGAAAGGGCTACCACCGATTCGATCTAATCGGTCCTTTGGCATTTGACTCTTCCTAGATCTCCTTGATCTGCTTTATTCTTCATGGCGAGTGGGACGAAGAAACGTCGCGCGTGATGGTTGCGTCTTGGCGGCCGGGGTTTTTTCCGCCGTGCTGGGTTGCTTGTCAATGGCGCTTGGCCTCTGCTGTCTCACGTTCTTCGACTGACGCAAATCTCCCTCCTCCCTCACGATTCCAGCGACGACGTAGGTTTTTTCGGTAGTGGAGCGACGTTTGCTGTTGTGGTAAGGTTTCCCCGTCTTTGCGGTTTCGTATCTCTCCAGGCTTAGCTTGGAGTTCCCGTCGTGCTTTATTCTT